TCAGAAGCACACATGATAACCAAAACCTGCAATTGGTGTCTGAAGGGGAATAGTCATATGGGACTCAGCCCTTAACATGTGGCATCTGCTATTAACTCTAGGCAGACGTATCAGAATTGGGTTAAATTGTAGGAAATCCAACTGGTGTTTGGAGAATCTCAGAACTGTTTGGTGTGTGGAAAACCCACACATCTGATGTCAGAAGTATTGAAAGTAGAGAAAAACAGGAGTATTTTTCCTTTACACTTGATATGCATTATTTTATTTAATCCCAACAACCCTTTAAATAAGCATTATTATCTCAGTATTATAGATGGGCACACTGAGGCTCATGAATGTGACAGAACTCATTTGTTCATTCATTCATTCAGAGTACCTACTCTATACTGTCCTATGCTCTAGAAGACAACTACTCTTTTTTTTTTTTTTTGACACAGCGAGAGAGGGAACACAAGCAGGGGGAGTGGGAGAGGGAGAAGCAGGCTTCCCATTGAGCAGGGAGCCCGATGCGGGGCTCGATCCCAGGACTCTGGGATCATGACCTGAGCTGAAGGCAGACACTCAACGACTGAGCCACCCAGGCAGCTTGCGGACTGCTCTTAAGATGCTAACATTTTAAAGAAAAGAGATAGACAATAAACATATATCTCTGGCGGTGATTAAGTACTATAAAGAAAAATAGCGGTGCCTGGGTGGCTTAGTTGGTTAAGCATCTGCCTTCGGCTCAGGACATGATCCCAATGTCCTGGAATTGAGCCCCCATCGGGCTCCCTGCTCAGTGGGGAGCCTGCTTCTCCTTTTCCCTCTGCCTTCTGTTCTCCCTGCTTGTGCTCTCTCTCTGTCAAACAAATAAATAAAATCTTACAAAAAAAAAAAAAAGGAAGAAAAATTCAAGTACGGGCTGGAAAGACAGGGCAGGGAGAGGGTACTAGCTTACACAGTGTGGCTAGAGATAACCTCTCTGAGAAGGTGACACAGAGAAGAGATCTAAAGGAAGTGAAAGATCAAGCCATACAAATATACGGGGAAGAAGCTTTCTAAAAGAGTATGAAGTCAAAGTCCCAAGGCAAGAGTGCTTCTCGTAAATGAGGAACAGTGAGGAGGCCACTGCGGCTACAGTAGAGCAAGCAGGAGAGGGGTAAGAAAAGTGACCAAAGATGTAGAGGCCAGATCGTATAGGGCCTTCTAAACTAGAACAAGGACTTCAAATTGGAATGAAATGGGAAGACACAGAATATCATAATAACTGGAACTCAAACCCAGGGCAAATTCCAATGGCTATATTCTTTGTGCCACCTTATGTTTTTTCAAAAGGCTGAGGCTTAAAGGAAATAGAATGGAGTGACACAGGGCAGGCCTCAATTCCAGTGTTCTACTTAGCCCCACCCTACTTATCTGATACCTCCCTAACTTAATAGCTCTCTGCCCCAGGTAGGCTGATGTCCTTGCTCTAACCTGCTCTCTTCCCCAACTCCCTCCCACTTTGGGGAACATTCCTGTGTACTCTCCGGAGTCCAGCAGAGCGCCAGGCACCCAGTGGGTACATAAATCATTGTTGGTTGAGTTTACCTCTTTTTATATCATGACACTTTCTTTAAGGCAGAATATATGAATGAACATGAGCTGGGAATAATAAGACCTGACCTCTAAGCCACACTTGACCATTAATTAGATAACATGGCACCAAGCAAGTCATTTCATGTTGCCGAGTCTCTCTTCACCAATTGTATGTGATATTCAGGTTTAACTAACATATACTGAGTACTTACTATTATTATAATACTTACATTTGTACTATTTTTTCCTCATTAAATCTTTACAAGTATGTGAGGAATAAATGTTCTCTGAGTCCTCCTATCACTGCTCAGTGCTGAAATTCAACAATAATAAATAAGATCTAGTCCCAGAATGATGCTATGCAACCAAGGAGTGTTTTCTGCAAGCCAGAGTTTGGCATACAGAGGTTCCACCTGTGTACAAATGGGACTGGACAGAGTATGTGCCTCAGGAGGGCAGGCACCACATTCTACTCATTTTTGAATTTGCATAACAGCACACACACGTACACCCTCCCTCCAGAAATAGTTGGTTGAATATATGAAGACACATTAAGATAGATCTTATAAAAAGTTTAAGGAAACAGATCTCATCTTATTGACTGTCTTTATAGAGTACCCTCCTTAGAAACTCCAGAGATATGTCAAAGTATCAAGGTATTAATCATCTAATCAAAACTTATTAAATACTCAGGGCACCTGGCTGGCTCAGCTGGAAGAGCATGCGACTCTTTTCTTTTTTCTTTTTCAAGATTTTATTTATTTGAGAGACAGAGTGAGCAAGAGAGAGCACAAGCTGGGGGAGCGGCAGAGGGAGAGGGAGAAGCTGACTCCCCTGCTGAGCAGGGAGCCCGATGCTGGACTCTATCCCAGGACTCTGGGATCATGACCTGAGCCGAAGACAGACCCTTAACCAACTGAGCCAGCCAGGCACCCGGAGCATAGGGACTCTTTTTTTTTTTTTTTAAGATTTTATTTATTTATATGACAGAGAGAAACAGCGAGAGAGAGAACACAAGCAGGGGAAGTGAGAGAGGGAGAAGCAGGCTTCCTGCTGAGCAGGGAGCTGGATGCGGGGCTCGATCCCAGGACTCTGGGATCATGACCTGAGGCAAAGGCAGCCGCTGAACCAATGAGCCACCCAGGCACCCCCGGAGCATGTGACTCTTGATCTCAGGGTTGTGAGTTTGGGCCCCACGTTGGGTGTAGATATTACTAAAAAATAAACTTAAAAAAATTTTTTATTAAATACCCTAGAGAGCAATGGGGATTTTATAGGACATGGAAAAAAATCTATTAAAAATCAGCTATTCTCGGGGCGCCTGGGTGGCTCAGTCGTTAAGCATCTGCCTTCAGCTCAGGGTCGTGATCTCAGGGTCCTGGGATCGAGCCCCACATCAGGCTCCCTGCTCAGCGGGAAGCCTGCTTCTCTCTCTCCCACTCCCCCTGCTTGTGTTCCCTCTCTCGCTGTGTCTCTCTCTCAAATAAATAAATAAAATCTTTAAAAAAAAAAATCAGCTATTCTCTGTGTATTCTCAGCTGAGAACTTTTTTCATCTAGACTTTTCTGATTTCTTTTGTTTGTTGAGGTTACCTGAATTTGTTAGGGGGAGTTACAGAAGTTCGGGGAAGGGGGATCTAAGGGTCATTTCCTAGCTAAGCACCAGAATTAATCCAAGCCTCTGTCAACTCTTTCTAAACTTCTGAATATTAAGATATTTTCCTAAAAGTTTCCAGCAAGACTCAGGTATCAGATACACCAAAACTCAAATCATAAGGACAGAAGTGTCTTACTTTACGGGATCCAAAGAAGCAGAATTTTTTGTATACTGCCCTCCATAACCACCAGCATCAGGGATTTATTTAAAAATAGTGACTCAATGACCCATCTATTTTATATCCAAGAATTTTATCCCTTAATAAATCTAAAGCCCAGAAAGGAATAGAATGTTCCCATACACAGTTATTTTCACTGGAGTGTACTTAACAATGAAGTAAAGTGATACTTTCTGGAAAGATTTTATAACATAGGTTGAATCTAAAAGGGTTTTCTGGTCAACTTAGTTAATAAGAAAACTCCTTTTCTAAGCATTCTAGTAAATAAAAGTTTTACCTTAGGTTGACTTGTTACAACACTTTGGGTGAAAATAATAGTCTATGAAATGCTACATAATCCTAGAAACCAGATGACTAAGCCAAATATAAAGACAAGTCCTTAAGTTCTGTGTAAGCAATTTTGTTATTTTTAAAACTAGACCTCAATTTCTATCATTGACCTCTTATTTTTAAAAGCATGTCCTGGCTAAAACTTTTATGAAGACTACAAAACAAGTCAATTTATTGTACATTACAGCTGATATCCACACTATGAATTACTCTAAATTGAACACTCTTTATGTGCTTTTAGCTGGTATCAGCTTTAAATAGAATCTGAATCTCCAAATCAACCTTTTTTTAAAGATTTTATTTATTTATTTATTTGGGGGGTGCAGAGGGAGAGAATCTCAAGCAGACTCTGCACTGAACATGGAGCCTGACGCAGGGCTCAATCTCACAACCCTAAGATCATGACCCTGAGACCATGACCTGAGCTGAAATCAAGAGTTGGATGCTTAACCAACTGAGCAACCCAGGCACCCCTGAATCTCCAAATGAACCTTAATCCAAATCAAAGTCTAGTCATATCAAAGTAACTACCATCATAGTATTTCTTTTTCAAAGAAAAAAAACAACATTTACACCGAAAATGATAGCCTATGTGGTAATTATGACAATGAAGTCCTATCAGTGTCTTACTCTAAAAATCAGGTTTATATTGTTTTCATATAGCTACAATGAAAATGACCTGACTTGAAATATGTAGCCACTATATTACAATATTAAGGCTCTAAGCTAAACTAAACCTGAGCGCTAAATATCAGACATAATCTTCCATTTACTGTGCCAGTGACAGAATATGTAATGGTTAAGAGCATACTCTGAATTAAGACTGCCTATGTGTTATTCCTGATTCTACCACTTCTGAGCTTTATGATCTTTTTTTTTTTAGTAAGCTCTATACCCAGCATGGGACTTGAACTCACAATGTCAAGATCAAGAGTTGCATGCTCCACTGACTGAGCCAGCCAGGCATCCAGCTTAGCTTTATGATCTTGAGCAAAAGGCTTCACTCCTCTGTGCCTCAGTTTCCTCACCTAAAAAATGGGAATAACAAGAGAACTCTCATACTGTTTTTGAGCAGATAAGATGAGATAATATGGAGCTAAATTTAGAACAGTGTCTGGCACATAAAAGAACTCAATTAAGGATAGCTATAATTATCAAACTCAAGACAAAGAACAATATACTTAGCAATGATAACATCAATTAAGTACATACTGAATGCCAACTACATATCCATTGCTGTGCCAGGCACTGGAGCTAAAGAGAACTGTACAATGCATGCTGTTTCTATCCCCAGAAAACTAAAAGTAATCTCTCTAGTTAAAATGACAAGGTCAAAAATAATTAATTAAAGAATACCGAATAGAAGTGTTAAACTGTGAATGAAAAGTGCTTGCAAATTCAAAGAAACAACAATGACAAAAGGATAACCAACATTTCTTAAACAATTACTATGTTGCAGGCACTGTTTTAAGCACTTTACATAATTACATCATTTAATTCTCACAACCCTATGAAGTAGATATTATTTTTAACCCTACTTTATAGATGAGGAAATTAAGAAACAGAGAGATAAAGCAGTATGTTTACACAGGTAGTAAGAAGCAGATTAGGATTCAAACCCAGGTAGTCTGACTCCTGAGCCTGCTCACCTAATTACTAAACCATAGTAGGGCAAGAGACTCAACCAAATAATATCACCATTTACTGAATGTCTACTATGTGCCAGTCACTCTACTTTTAAACACCCCATTCTAGGGGCGCCTGGGTGGCTCAGATGGTTAAGCGTCTGCCTTCAGCTCAGGTCATGATCCCGGGGTCCTGGGATCGAGCCCCATATTGGGCTCCTGGCTCAGCAGGGAGTCTGCTTCTCCCTCTCCCTCTGCCTCTTCCCCTGCTCGTGCTCTCTCTGTATCTCTGTGTCTCAAATGAATAAATAAAATCTTGAAAAAATAAACACCCCATTTTAATAATTCTATTCATGGGGTGCCTGGGTGGCTCAGTCAGTTAAGTGGCAAACCCTTGATTTTGGCTCAGGTCATGATCTCAGGGTCCTGAGATCAAGCCCTGCTTTGGGCTCCACGCTCAGTGGTGAGTCTACTTGGGACTCTCTCTCCCTCTGCCCTTCCCCCGCTCGCTCTCTCTCTCTCAGATACATAAATAAATCTAAAAAAAAATTCTATTCATTTTTACAGATAGGGTTACAGACAAAAAGGGGAAATAGTGCGTAGAGTTAACCGTGCATAGAGGGGCAAGGACTCAGTCACAGAACTGCTGACCCTAAAGCCCATGCTCTTCCTGACTTCACTTTCTTTCAAAATCAAAGGTAGGCTTAGTTACAAGGGGCAGGATTTAAGCACAACTCAGAGGATTTGTATAATTTAGATAGCTAACAAGTTAGGGAAAGATACTAAAGAAAGGAGGAACAGAATGAGCAAAAACTTGTAGCAAAAACAAGTGTTTAAGGATGTTAAGAAAAACAGCCCTGCCTATGGCAAAGGGTGAAGAGAAGTAGACAATATGCCTAATCTGGGTTAAGATAACAGAGAGTGAGCACCTGGCTGGCTCAGGTGGGAGAGTGTGTGACTTTTGATCTCAGGGTTGTAGGTCTGGGCCCAACACTGGTCATAGAGATTGCTTAAAATTAAAATGTTACAAAAAAAGATGACAGAGAATGAAAACAAGGTGGGAAATTAAAATCTGATGCAGCAGACATGAGAGAGCCACTGCAGGCCCTTGAGAAGGTGAGTGGTATAATCCAAACAGGATTTTAGACATACTACTGATAGCATTATCGGGATGAATAAGAATGGAAAGAGAGACACTGAGAGTATGCTGCTGTAATACAGATGTTGAGATCATGAAGATTTAAGAGATGGCAATGAAATAAAAAGCAAACGGCAAATGTGAAAATAACTTTGAAAGAACCACCTATGGGATTTCATGATAATTGGTTTTAAAAATTCAACTGCCTTTCATTTTTTTAGTTAAAAAAAACCCCATAGCAATAAATAAGTAACATTAAAGAGAAATGCTGTTCTTTAATCTCTTCAGAGATAACTTGGAGGCTATTAGGTTTTTTCCTATATCTGACACAGCAATACTTGCCCAGACCCTCCACTCCATAATAGGCAGAGCCAAGTACATTTCTTCTGTACCCCACACATATTGATAACAACCCTTTCTGTACCAGGCAGTCAACCCTAGCTGTATCTATAACAACCCACGTGGTGGCCTGCCATATTTCAGCTGATATGCTCGGCAATTCCAAACCCACATCTGTGGCTGAACAGCTGAGAAAAAAGAACAGCTATTCTCTCAAATTTTCAATGGGTAGAGTTCCTGCAGGTCTATATGGACTTGGGTATATGTCTGTGAGTTCACATTCAGAGTGTATACTTAGTAAAACCACCATGTCTTGGAGAGATTTGGGGAAGTCATTAACCTGACTAACAGGGTAGAAACAGTGTTACCCTGCCAATTTCAAATTCCCAATTCCTCACCAAAGAACCCTAAGGGAAGAATTCCAACTGATACTACCTAGGGTCATAAGATGTGGTAGGTACCACATAGTACAGGAAGAATGAGGGAGGAAGACTTCAAAGACGGTAGAAAAACTTCACTCATTCAAATATACTATTTAGTAAGCATCAAGACCCTAAATGATAATGATCCCTGGCTACCTCCCTGACTTCTTTTTTTACTATGCTCCCCTTCTTTAACTGCAGTCTAGCCACACTAGCTTTCTTGCTATTCTTTGAACACCCTAGGGGGGCACCTAGCTGGCTCACTTGGGGGAGCATGCAGCTCTTGATCTCAGGGTTGTGAGTTCGAGCCCCATACTGGGTATACAGATTACTTAAAAATAAAATCTTTAGGGGCGCCTGGGTGGCTCAGTTGTTGATTAAGCGTCTGACTCTTGATCTGCTCAGATCTTAATCTCAGGGTCGTGAGTTCAAGCCCTGCACTGCGCTCCACACTGGGCATTGAGTCTACTTAAAAAGAAAAAAAAAAAAGAACACACTAAGGTCTTTGCTCTTGCTATTCCCTCTGCCTACAATGCCTTCCCCCAGCTATTCACATGGCTCTCTCCCTCACTTCACTCAGGTCTCTACTCAAATGTCACCTCCTCACAGAACCCTTCCTTAACCATCTGATCTAACATATAATAGCACACCCACCCTCTCTCTCTCCTCATCTCCATCCCCTTACCCTGCCATTTTCTTCACAGCACTTGTTACTACCGGATATGTATATATGTGTATACATACACACACTCTCATGGCAGCAATTTTGTCTGTCTTATTCATCACTCAAATCCCAGTGCACAGAGGGCGCTCAAAGAATATTTGTTAACAGTAAATGTACGAATCTATCATATATTTGGGACTGAGATAAGTACTAGAAATATAAAGATGAATAAGTCATGTCCCATGCTTCTTCAAAGGAACTATCTAGCAGCGGAGGTTAGCCACACCACAAGAGAAAGTTCTACAGCTTCAGGTATTTCCCAGTTTCCTATGGAAAGTAAAAAAAGAACAAGTCACTTCTAACTTGAACTGCCAGCTGCTACAATATTGTAATATTAATTAAAAATTATAAAAAAGGCTAATTACTGGTCATAAGAGACAGACCTGGTTTCAAATTCTGGCATTGCCATTTGTTTGCTTGGTAACTTTTTTTAAAGATTTTATTTATTGATTTGAGAGAGAGAGCGCTAGAGCACAAGCAGGGGGAACAGCAGAGGGAGAGAGAAAGGGAGAAGCAGACTTGTGAGCTGAGCACAGAGTCCAACTCTGGGCTCGATCCCAGGACCCTGGGATCATGACCTGAGCTGAAGGCAGACGCTTAACAGACTGAGCCACCCAGGCACCAGTTTGTGCAGTAATTATGTAAACTTTCTCAGTCTGTTTCCTAACCCATAAAAAGAAATAATATTGGTAATTACTTAACGGAGTTGTTAAAAAATTAAGTAAGATAATGCATATAAAGCACTTTTTGCATTGCCTGGCACACAGTATGTACTCAAATGTTAGCTATTAGTGTTATTAATGGTTGATTCCAACGATCCTTTGAGCCCAATACCCAACCAACAGGTAAATCCTATTCAATTGTGTCACCAAAGAAGCCTATCCTTTCCTTCCTTTTCATTTTCACAGTTCCTAACTGGTGTCTCTAAATCCAGTCTCTCCCTTCCAATGTAATCTATACATTTCTAAAGAACTAAATCCAAGGGCTTTCTGGGTGGCTCAGTCAGTTAAGCAGCTGCCTCCAGCTCAGGTCATGATCTCAGGGTCCTGGGATATAGCACCACATCAGGCTCCCTGCTAAGCGGAGACCCTGCTTCTCCTTTTGCCCCTTCCCCGACCCCTGCTCATTCTTTCTCTCTCTCAAATAAATAAGATCTTAAAAAAAAAAAAAAAGAACTAAATCCAGCCCCCTTAGTTTACCACTTAAAGCCCTTCATGTTTGGGCCCCAACTTACCTTTCCAACCCAATTTTCCACTACTTTCTAGAGTCCACCCGTCTAGCCAAATTAAATCATTCTACTTTTCTATATATACTCCATGCTTTCCCACTACCAAGCCTTGTTCATTTTATTCCCTCCTCTTCCCTTCTTTACTGGTAAAAGTTCAAATCCTTTCCACCACTTTCCAGACCTAGCTCAAATGCCACAATGCCTTCCTAGATCATTCCCAAGTGAAAATGGTATCTTTCTCCCCTGAATACCTACTTGATGTTGCTATATCTCTTCTGTAGTGCTGAACCCTTTCAACTTTATATTTCAGTTGATATGTACGCCACGGGCTCCCTGTTGAAAGAATCCATGCCATGCCAGTTCCTATACTCAGTATATGAGTATGCCTAATACTCAAACAAATATATGTAGAATGAATATTTCACAAAGAGACACTAAGGTTAGATTTAGCCTCAATGATAAACTTTCAGCCTTGAACCAGAAGCTCCTGACCTAACTGGTACTACAGTTCCCTCACAAAAGGAGAAATTGGAACACAAAGTACTATACTTTCAAACCAGTGGTCACATTAACTTTTTAAAATTTTTATACATAACAGGCCACATAGTCTTCCTTCCACTTCCAATTCACCTAGTCTCACACTCTTCATCAGAAATTTTCCCCCTCTTTACATAGAACATAATTATAATTCAAGACCAACTGAGTTCTACCTATTAACAGAGTATAGCCAAGCTCACAAAAACACAATAAACAAGGATGCTGATCATCATTCTTTCCAAGTAAAGTTGTGCCACTGACCTGTTTATAAGGCTCTGTGATGATTTTCAGGCACAAGAAACTGCCTGTATTTGACTCAATCAGCTCAGTCAGTCTTACTCAGACCCTAATGATGGGCGGGGGGGGGGGGGGGGGGGGGGCTAGTTCTAAGACAAGCAACAACATTCTGAAATCCACCACCAACCCTACCATATCTTACTTGCTATGTGATTGTGGCCAAGTCCCTGAGCTTCTCTGTGTGTGAGATTTGTTCAAAAAAGCTGCTAAATAGGGAAGGAATGCAGAAGCTTCATCAGCTTGAAACCCAAAAATATGTGCAAATCTTTTGCTACAAAAGACAAAACCATGTAAATGGGAATGTTTTCGGTGAACTCTCTTTATTAAAACAGAAGTCATCTCACCCCTCAAATACATGTCATTGTATCTGATCTCCAAATTCATTACAGGAAGAGCTGGGTATTAAGTCACCCAAATACATGCAGTCTCCACTTCCCTTAATTGAAAGCTGCTGATTTCCAAGGAGCAAAAAGCTGAGCAGAATGTAACTTAAAGTCTAGATCGGTAAACAACTCCCGATCCAAATTGGCCAAAGAGGAAAGAGAGGTGGGTGGGGGTAAGGCAGATGACGGGAAAAACTCGGCTGACCACTGCGCCAAGTGAACTCAGTCACTGCTCCCGAGATGACACACACACCCCTCCACCCTAGGGCTGTCAGGACTGCTGCTTTGGCCCCCAAAGCATGAGGGCAGTACACCTGAGAAGAAACTCAAGCTTCAGCTGGGGCTCGGGACCCTCGAGGAGCCTGGGCCTGACAGACTCGAGGATGGCAGCCGCCGCCCCCACAGTGGAGAGCCCGAGACGGCCTCAGGTGTGGCTTTGGCCGTAGCCTCGGCCGGGCTCCGCATCCCGGCAACCTCACCCAGGCCTGTCCCCGGGATGGCCCCTGCCCCCCAGCCCTGTCCCCAGCTCACTGGCTTGGCTGATCCGCTGGATGTTGCCACTGCACGTCTGTATGATGCTGTTGAAGTCCCGGAGTTGGGGCCCAGAGGACCCCGGGTTCCGATACATGTCTAAGGGACCGTAGGACATGACGAGGAACTGAGACCAACTCGCCCTGCACCGCGCTCCTACCGGAAACAGCCGCCAGACTGCACCCGCAGCCTGACGGGGAAACGGAGAAGAGAAAGGGCTGGGGAAGGGGCTAGGGCTGCGTGCGCACTGGCCCCGCCCCCACGCCGCGCGCATGCGTCCGTCCCGCCCCGCCCCACAGTGCGCAAGCGCCGCTGGAACTGGTGCCGGGGACAGTAGCTTAGAGACCGGACGCCTCCGCCTTGGGGAAACGGGGCGGGGCGCTGACGTCACACGGTTGGGGCTCGGATTGGAGGAGCTGGTGTGGTAGTGTTATTTCTCGCCGGAGCGCGGTGACAGGAGGCACGAATTTTCTATTAGCATAAAATTGTACCAGATGATCTCAGCCCTAACATCCTATTCTGTTCTATTCTGAGAATTCAGGCCCAAATATGGGAGAATTCGACAACTCTGAAAGTCAGATCGGTAACCATCTCCTGAAATTCCTCACTCTACTTCCACCCTGAAGGGCTTTGGTAATAATTGCGGAGCGCTTTTATGGTTTACAGACCGCTTTCATTTCTCCTCCACCCCTCTTCTAAACAATAAAGCGATGATAATAATAATATTTATTGAGCACATACTATGTATGAATCTTCACTGCAATTCATTTGTTCATAAGCTCTATCATAGCAAGGGACAATGTTCCAACTATATTTTTACGTTCAGAATAGATAATGGACATCGGTTTTTTAAATGTTGAAGCAAAGTAACTCGACAAAGCAAGAGTTATTTTCCCTTTTACAAAACTGAGAAAATTAAGACCACGGTGGTTAATTTGCTTTTCTGAGATTTGACTGCAAAACCCAAACATTAAGCTAACTCCATCCTCATCTCCCTACTTCCCTAAAACTCATTCTCATGTTACCAAACTCATTCTCCATCTAAATCCTTCCCAAATAGCCTCTTCATTTACTATATATCCCAAACCAGGATTTTTTTTGGAGAACTAGCCTCTCAAATTTTAAAAGTCATTCCCTTGAGGGTGGGGGGGAAATCATTCCCTAGAGGGTGGGGGCAAAACCATTCCTCAAGTAATTTGGAGTGTGTGACCTCAATGTTGCCATAGAAGACTGCATTTGGTGAGCTTATCGTAAATGGACAGACGTGGGTAGGATTTGGGTTTGGGAAGAGATCTAGATAAGAAGTGAAGGGGAAACTAGCAGTGTTTGTTTCCTGTGTTCTCCACCCAGCCCCACCCCCGCCTACTCTGCGATCTCTGGGTAATGGCAAGAGAGGAAGCTGTTTGCCTGTTTGGGAGGAGACCCCAAATGAGTGAATGAGCCTTAGCGATTTTGTAAGCAAAGCCATTTCTATTTTAGTTGCGGCATTTTTTTTTCAAAGAGCATTTCTTTCTCTCTAGAAAGGGATAGATGACATTTGAGGACTCTCATTCTGGTTATTAAAATGCTACCATTTCTTAGAATCCATAGTTTTATGTCAAATCTTATAGCTAATCATTTAAATTGTACTTTACCTATAAAATAGTCTTTTTTTCATTTACACTTGACTCTATTTAGGGTGAAGTTAAGTAAAGGTATTTTTCTCCTAGGAATTGAAGACATAGGGTTTTGTTATTGTTGTTTTCTTTCTCCATCTAAAATAAAAAGTGGTTTTCCATCTGTGCCTTGTGCTATTTTGTGCTCTCTGTCATAGCTATACATTTGTGTCTTGCAAATACTAGATGTCAAATGAACATTTATTATATTTATACATGAATGATAAAAAATAACTACCATTTCTTAAATGCCTATCCAGTGTGTGAACACCTTTTACAAACCTTATGGGTACCCCCCAAGATAAAGCCTATCTGATAAAAACCACCTGTGCTCTGACAAAATTAGTGCTGCAAAGGGAGACTGCACACCAGAGGTATCATGGGGCATCTCACCAAGCACAGGAGAAGATAGAGTTATCCTAGGATTTGGGGAAAAGATGGAATGTAGGTAAAATTTTAAAAGAAGCAGTGTTTTGATAGCCTCAAAGCACACCAGGCTACATGTAAGGGGATTATCATCAGGCCTGAGCTAACAAGAGGACTCAGGATCTTGTTTCCTTGGAAACTACAACGTGAAGATAAATGTGGAATGTTGTATCTGGAAACCCCTTATCTGAAGCTTTGCACCTGGGTGGGAAATTGAGGCTGCTCCTCTGTGTCAAAGTAACTCAAATCCTCCAGGCAGGAGTGGAATATTACATTCTTATTGATATTTCGAATAGCAAATATTCTGAAAATCTGTGATTTTTCTCAGCATTGTGTCCTTTTGTTAATTGACAAAAACAGTTTTCATGGTTTGCACCCATCAATGTGAGATTAGCTCCTTGGTAACACATAAGGAATCTGGTGTTCTCTAGAGGTCCTGGGTACTTGCCCAGCGCTATACAGCTATTGAGTTGCAGAGCCGTGATTCATACATATTCCATGACCCAGCAATTCTACCCCTAACTAAATACTCAGCTGATATGAATACTTATATGTTCCAAAAACCAAGTATAGGAATGTTCATAATAGCATTTTTTAGGACTAAGCAGCATTTTCTGTATTATTTTCATTGAGTTATAATTGACTTACAATACAATGTCATGTATGGGTGTTAAGTGTTCAATTAAATGAATTTTGACACTTGTATACATCCATGGAACTACCACCCATATCAAGATATAGACCTTTTCATCATCACCCAGGGAAGTATCCTTGTGCTGTGCTCCTTTCTATCACATATTTTATAGGGGAAAAAAAAAAGGAATGTAGCAAATTGGTCAAGGTTGTACAAAAACACCAATGAACTGCAGGTTTGTACACGTTGCTCTATCAAGCTGTGCTCCTTTCTAATCAATTTCACTCATCCCCAGAAATCATTTTCTAAGTTTTATCACTACAGATTTATTTTGCCTATTCTTGGACTTCATAGAGATGGAATCATATTTTACGTATTGTTTAGTGCTTGGCTTATTTCAATTAACATAATATTTTTGAGATTTATCCATTATGTTGCATGTATCAGTGGTTTGGTCTTTTTTATTGCTGAGTAGTATTTTATCATATGAAAATACTACAATTTGATTATCTATTCTCTTATTGATGGACATTTGAATTGTTTCCAGTTTGAGGCTATTACGATGAAGGTGAGAGCAGCATTTATTTTTACTAATTCCAAACTGGAAACAAACCTGAATGTCCATCAACAATAGGATGGATAAATTGTAGTAGTATTATAGAACACAAAAATAAATGTCCTACTGCTATGTAAGCAATGCGGGTGAACTCATCCAAACATAATGCATTGTGGGTGCCTGCCTTGCTCAGTCAGTGGAGCATGCAACCCTTGACCCTTGATCTTAAGGTCGTGAATTCAAGTCCCATGTTGGGCATGGAGCCTACTTAAAAAAAATAAATAACAAACATAATGCCTACCAAAAGAAGCCAGAAAAAATTGAGTACATTCTGTATTAATCCATTTTTATTAGATTCATAACCAGCAAAATTATTATTTAAAGTAAGGATAGTATGTAGTTAATTTGAGAGAGGGAGTAACTGGGAATGGGCACATGAGGTGAGCTTCTAGGGTGCTGGTGGCAGTCCTCTTGATTCGGGTGGTGATTACATAGGTGTGTTTACTTTGTGAAAATTCATCAAGTCATATACATGTGATGTGTCCTCTTCTGAAGTATGCTATATGTCAGTAAATAAGTTTCATATTTAAAAAAAATGAAGTATCATTATCACCAATATGGCAAGTTTTTCTTGGGAATGGTAGGGAAGGGTCAATGGAGATATTCACTTAGGCTGCAATGAAGACTGCATTCAAATGAGCACTCATCATGCATTGCTCATGGGAATGCAAAATCATATAGTCACTTTGGAAAATAGTTTAGTAGTTTCTTAGAGAATTGAACAAGTTTGCCATACAATCCAGCAATCCCACCCCTAGGTGTTTTACCCAAGAGAAATGAAAACACATGTTTCTATAAAGATCTGTACATAAATGTGTAACGCAGCTTTATTCATAGTAACCAAAAGCTGGAAATAACTCAAATGTCCATCAGTTACCGAATAAACAAATTGCAGTATATTCATATGATGGAAAACTATTCAGCTATAAAATAAAGGAACAGACTACTGAAACATGGAGTTACTGAGACATGCAAATACATGGACAAATCTCAAAAGTATGTGCTAAATGAAAGAAGTCAGACATGAAAGCCTTCATATTGTATGATTCCATTTATGAGACATTCTGGAAAAGGCAAAGCTACTGGGCTAGAAATCAAATTAATGATTGCCAGGGGCTGGAGTTAGGGGGGAGGGGATTAACTACCAAGGGGCATAAGGGAAGTTTTGAAGTTGATAGGAATGTTTTATATCTTGATTGTGGTGATTACACAACAGTATACATCCATCAAAACTCTTTGATCTATATACGAAGATGGGTAAATTTTACTGTATGCAAACAATATCTTATTAAAGAAAATGACACTCTAAGAACCAGTGTGATGAAGTGGCATGCACGAGGTGGGTGGTTTGGAGTCAAAAAAAGGATATACCAGTTGTGGGTTTCATGAATGTTCTGAGGGCCTAAACGTGATCTTGGGATAAGGTAACAATGGAAGCCAAAAACAAGTGAACATCCACGGTTATTTTTTTTTTTTTTAAGATTTTATTTATATATTTGACAGAGAGAGACACAGCAAGAGAGGGAACACAAGCAGGGGGAGTGGGAAGAGGGAGAAGCGGGCTTCCCGCCGAGCAGGGAGCCCGATGTGGGGCTTGATGCGGGGCTCGATCCCAGGACCCTGGGATCATGACCTGAGCCAAAGGCAGACGCTTAACGACTGAGCCACCCAGGCGCCCCTTTCCACGGTTATTTTAATTTATGATTCTATTACTTTCCCTCTCAGGAAATAGAAAATGTAGATTCTGTAGAAGTCACGCATAAAAATTGCTTACAAAAACTAGCGCGTACTACGTGCCAAGCACTGTTCTAACAACTTCTACAGATATGACTTAATCTGCACAACAACCGTAAACTAAGGAGAGACAGAACTCAAACCCAGGCAGTCTGACTTCAGAGTTAACGGTGGCATGACACCAATATCACTTTTCATGCAGAGTTGGTAATCCGTTGCAGTGACAACCTGGCAAACACTGGTAGGGAAAGTAGTCACTGATACCAGGAAGAGCTGAGGATTATGAACTACTTTCCCCAAACTGACAGCTTTCATTTCTGGCTTCCAAATCTAGAGGTTCACATCGTTTTTACTCAATCCTATAGGCCAAAGGGCAATGTGGTAGCCAGCCTACAAGACAGACCCCGGTGATCCTTACTTCCTGGTATGTACCCACATGGGAGGCACCATTCCACCTGGAATAGTGTCAGTAATTTGATCTCTGTAACCAGTAAGGTATTGCAGAAATGATGGAGAGCCACATCTGAAGGTAGACCATTGCAGCTTCTGCCTTGCTCTCTTGGATTTGGTTTGGTTCCAGAATCTATTCCCTTTGTGGCAGATTCTATTTTTTAAGTTAGTCACCACAATAGCTTCCATCCAATATGCTCTTCTACTTTGTCATCCTCTCATAAAGAGAAGGGATCTATGTCCCCGGCCCTCAAGTCTGGATGGGCTTCTGACTGCTCAAACAATAAAGTACTGCACAAGTAAGGTAATGCGACTTTTGAGGACAGGTCGGAAGGTGTATGCATCTTCAGCTTTGTTCACTGGATCACTTGTGCTTGCAGTCTAGAGCCACCACGGAAGAAGTCTGATTATCTTGACCCACCATGCTGGGGAAGTCCAAGTTATATATGGAGGGGTCCCATGTAAGGTGCTCCAGTCAGCATTACTGGACTTCCAGTCATCCCAGCTAGATATACAAGTAAACAGCCTTTAGAGATGATTCCAGCCCCAGGAAGCATTCCTCGGTTTTTGAATCTTCCCAACTGAGGACCCAGACATTGTAGAACAAACCAGTCATCCCCACAGTGCCCTGTCCAAATTCTTGATCGATAGGGTCTGTGGGCATATTTAAATTTGGGGATAGTTTCTTATGTAGGAATAATAACCAGGATACCCTGCAACTCCTGACAGTTTTGGCCTTCCCGAAAACGGCCCCTCCTCCCAGACCCTTGAGCCGGCCATCAGTTGAAGACAGCTATACTGCAGGTAACATATGATCTTAAACTGCAAAGGATGGAACCAAAGTCCTAAATTTTGAGGGTTATATCGAGTGGCTGAAGACCTTCTTGAAGAACTGTTTATACTATATACTTCCCCTACAGTGGTTTTTAAGGCTGAGCAAATGGATAAATTAACTCACACAATAAAGATGGTCATAGACATAGCTTACCGTCTTAGTCCTTCCGGGCTGCTGTAACAAAATATTACAGACTGCATTGTTTATAAACAACAGAAATTTGTTTCTCAAGAGTTCTGGAGGCTGGGAAGTTTAAGATCAAGGTGCCAGCATGGTTATGTTCTAGTGATGGCCTTCTTCTGGTCTACAGTCCTTACCTTCTGGCTGTGTCCTCACATAGTGGTAGAGGCAAGGTATCTCTAATTCCATTCATGAAGGCAGAGCCTAAGCACCTTCCAAAGGAAGGTCCCACCTTCTAACACTATCATCTTTGGGATTAAGATTTCAACATATCAACTGGGGGGGGGGGGAGCACAAACATTCAGACCATGGTACCTACAAAATAAAACTGTCTTCAATTTAGAGAAAGTAAGTTGTCATTGAGTCTATGGAATAGAATGACCAGGATGTGACAGTGACAATGTCTGAGAGGCACCTGTTATTAATTTTAAAACCTACCAGTACCAAAGTTTCAAACTAATACATTCTTCTCCTTCTTGAGATGGTATCTCAAAATCCTTTCACTCATACCTTATAAAGATTCATCCTGTATTATATTTTGAAAAATAATGGCAAATACAAAATCAAGAAACAATGGTGGTGTCCAATATTTCACTAAATGGAAGCCCATGAGGACAGTAACTTTATCAATCTTTTTCACTTCTGTATCCTCATTGCCTGGCACAGTGTTTATAACAAAGCAAGCACTTAAATTGGAAAATAAAGTAATAGAAGAAAAAAGAGAATGAGTTTATTCTCTGATGGATATGAAACTCCCTATTACCACAGTTAGGCTTTTAATTGTTTAAGTCTACAAGCAAGGCAAAATGTTTTCTAGGCTGAAGGGCATCATGGGATATGTCCATTGGTGGTAAACCAGCAGTCAGTCAGTCAATCAATCACCCAACAATTATACTTGAGTCAATTTGAATTTTTATTAACACACATTTTTCAAAGTTTGTACAAACCAAAACATTCCTGTGTTTCAAAATGTCCATTATACAAACATACAAATGAACAAAAGGTGTTACCAAAAGTTAGCTACTCAATTTCATGGTAAAACAGTGTCATGATTTTTAAAAACCAAAATTTCAAGACTGAGGTTTCTTCCTTCACTTTTTGGAACTTGTGGAAAGTTAGAAAATGTGTGAATCTGCTTTATATTAAATGCCAAGACCTTAAAAAAAGATTTAGTATAAAACTAAGTATGTGTTTTTATATTATCACTTCATGAAACAGAATTTCTCAAGTCTTCCAAATTAAAAAAAAACAAAAAACCATGACTGTAACGTTTTTCACAATCTTTCCCCCCATAGTCAAACGTAAATGCATCTGAAAAATATTATCTGACAGTTTATCTTTACCTAAAAGTTTCTCATTCAAAAAGTTACAAAACTATTTAGCACTGCCATTTCCCCTGCGTAGAAGGGAAAATGACCTCCTCTACTAGAGTGAGATAGAAGCAACATGGTCCATTGTTTCTCTTCTCGGAAAGAAGCCACCCATTTCCACATCTCCGTCCAATTCTGTGCATGGCTCCACTTGTGAGAATGTTATCACAAATTATAAGCATTTGCCTTAGGAAATGCCTAGCAAGTTAAACTGACTGCTTACAATTTTGGTACACTGAGGTACAAAGGTCATCTGCCCTCATGGTTACCTCTAGCCGCAGTACCCCTCCCTCTCCATTAATGATTCCAAGGTAGTTGATTTTACTGTGTTTCATGGGACATTACACATCTCTCATTTCTTTCGCAAACATCCCATACAGGACCTGAGAGAATGACTGGAAGTGCAAATCTATCTCCTCTCCTGGAAAAGTAAATCCATGTGCCTATTGGGTCAAGAAGGGAAAACAGGACACAAACAATTCTGGCTGAGGCCAAGCTGCTTCTGACAAGCCCTGTTTTCAATACATTTCCATTCAAAGCAAGGAGTGTGCAGGCTGGTGTGAATGAGGAGGAGTGGGGAGAAGGTACAGTGATACCATTTCTCAAAATCAGATTCAGAGTCCATACTTGAGCAGCTCATACTGACTCTCAAAATGCTCTGTAGTTCAAATATTATCCCATTTTGAATCTGCTCATTTTTTAAAAAATGTTCTCTGACAATGGCCCAATATAACAAATGATATAAGTAAAAGGTATTTAAAAAAAAAAAAAAAAAAAGAAGTGGCAGTGTGAGAATTTAAAATCAGTCACATAAAACAATCAAGAAAGGGGTAGGGGAGGGAAATGTCCAGTAAAACCTGGACAACCTTTCTTTCTGCCCTTACTTAAAAAGACAGACTGTTCAAATCTTTGCTACCTCCCTTAAGTAGCTTCTTCTTAAATGCTCTTCCAAGAAATCCTCCAAAAGGCACTTAACTCCATACTGATGCATTGAATTGTTTCACCTCAGCAATCAGTTTTTAAGACTCCAAGGTAACAAGAAAAGGTCTTATTCCTTTACTAAAAGGTAGAGAGTAGAACTTTTTTTTTTTTTAAGAGGCATCACTTTTACAAGAAGAACAAGCTAGGCTACCATTATTCCTTTATCAAGAAAAAGTTTCTTTTTTTAAAAAATAAATAAAACTCTGGCTATACATAGTACAAAGTTCATACATAATATACCTGGAAAAAAACCCAAGAGTATACCCTGAAGCAAAAGGTTTATTGGAGAGAGAAAGCCTCTTCCATTGTACCAAGTCTTAAGGTGGCAGTTTTCAAAGTTCAGAGGGTGGCAGTGATATGTGATTAATGCCAAACAATTTGCTCATGGGTATGGCAGGATGCAATGATGGACAAAACAAACAAACAAACAAAAATCATTCTGCACATAACACTGAGCAGTGACCACCACACACACACAAAGAATAGTACCAAAAGGGAGAGACAGAGAGTAGTGGGGGGGGGGAGGGAGAAGGGAGGGAAAGAGTGAAAGTATGAGACAAAGAGCTTGGAACCCCAAACATCCAAGCATGCAGTCATGACACAGCACAAACCAGGTGTTTCCATTCAGCCCACTGCGATCCCACAAAGAAGGATAACTATAATAAAATAGAGATTTCTTAAGAAAGCTTGCAATTCCCAGAGAACAGCCAGGTCACCAATCCTAACCCAGGAACCCCTGTGCTGTTGACTGGGAGCCTCCTTATGGTCTCTCATGGAGAGGTTATAGCTCCTGATTTCTCCGACTTCTTGCTCTTGGACAAGGCAGCTGCCTGCTTCAGGAGCTCTCGGTTTTTGGCCTAAACAAAAAAATGCAGTGAAAGAAGGATGTTTCAACAGGACAGGACATGCAGATGCTAAGGCATACAATGTAGAGGGTCAGGAAGAGAACAAGTTCTAGAGGCAGAAAACAACAGAAAGCTCTAGGGCTTGGTTCAGGGGAAGATAGTGTTTGCTGGAGGTTAATCAGCACACTTCAATCTCCTGGGATCCACAGTTACAAAAGGGTGCTTTGTGCAACACAAACAAACCGTGGAGTGCCTTAATGTGCTGGATAAACAGAATTCATAATCCAGACATCTGGAATCACATCTGGCTTATCCAAAAATCAAAACACACATTTATTACTGCCACTGTTTTTGAGGGAAAAAGATCAGAACACACCCAACAGTGAAACAATAAAAGACAGCTATAAGGTCGATTAATGTGAATTTGTCAATACCCTGAGAATAAAGAAATCTAAGAGATAATCACTTGAAAATACAATCAGCTAAATACACCAGGGTTATCACATAAAATAAGCAGACTCACCTGCAATTGCTCTGTGACTTCTTTGTGGGTTTTCTCCATCTGGTTCATTTTGGCTCTCATCTGAGATTCTTGGTATTGAAAATCAGCCTTCAACTCTGTGATCTGAGGGGGGAAAAAAAGGCAGAGTGACCAGAAGAAATCTCTGTGCAACGAAAAATGTTCTCATACCAAAGAACTAAATGGTTTCCCAAATGAATGAAATCCAGGGCTCTCCTGAAGATCCATAACTATATCAAAGCCAGGGGATTCTGCATCCTGTTTTTTCTAAAGATTTCCTGACAATTATACAAATTCCTGACATATCATTTCTGATACATCATCACTGGCAGGGTTTTTTGGTTTTTTTTTTTTAAAGATTTTAATTTATTTATTTGACAGAGAGAGAGAGAGACAGCTGGAGAGAGAACACAAGCAGGGGGAGTGGGAGAGGGAGAAGCAGGCTTCCCGCCGAGCAGGGAGCCCGATGCGGGGCTCAATCCCAGGACCCTGCGATCATGACCTGAGCCGAAGGCAGACGCTTAACGACTGAGCCACCCAGGCGCCCCTCACTGGCAGGTTTTAAAGATTTTATATATTGGAGTGCCTGGGTGGCTCAGGTGGTCAAGCATCTGCCTTCAGCTCAGGTCATGAGCCCTGTGTTGGGCTCTCTGCTCAGAGGGGAGCCTGCTTCTCCCTCTCCCTTTGCCTGCCGCTCTGCCTGCTTGTGCTCTCTCTCTCTGTGTCAAATAAATAAGTAAATCTTAAAAAAAAAAATAAAGATTTAGGGGTAGACGAACCATGAGACGACGGGCTCTGAAGAACAAACTGAGGGTTCTGCGGCGGGGGGAGGATGGGTTAGCCTGGTGATGGGTATTAAAGAGGGCACGTTCTGCATGGAGCACTGGGTGTTATGCACAAACAATGAATCATGGAACACTACATCTAAAACTAATGATGTAATGTATGGGGATTAATATAACAATAAAAAATTTTAAAAAAATAAAGATTTTATGTATTTAATACATGCCAATAATCCTCCAAATAAATCAGTGATTATAATACAATATGACTGACGGTTTGAGAGAAGCCAGGAGAATAACAGCTATTGCCATTTATTGAATTTTTAATCCTGTTCCAGGCAAACTGTTTGAACATATATATATATATGTATATAGTTGTTTTTGTTTTTTAGTAATCTCTCTCTATATGTGTGTGTGTGTGTGTGTGTACATGATGGTTTTTGTTTTAGTTTGGTTTGGTTTGGTAATCTCTATAGCCAGCATGGAGCTTGAACTCCGAACTCCAAGATCAAGAGCTGTATGCTCCTCCAACTGAGCAAGCCAGGTGACCCAAACTGTTTGATTCTATTTTTTCATTCAATCCTATGATAAACCTTTGGGGGGGGCAATATTATTCTTCCTATTTTATAGATGGGAAAACCAAGCCTTAGAAAGGGCTAAGTAACATGGCCAAGATCATACATGTTAGCAAGTGGCAGAGCTAGAATTCAAACCCCAGGCCTTCTTCTATTGACTGTGCTATTCAAGAAGAGAAGAGAAATCTACATCAGGGAAGTGATGTGTGAGCTGAGTTTTGAGGGACATGAGCTACAGCTGGCACACAAGGTAGGGAGAAGGGCATCCAAACAAAGGAAACTGTGTGGGCACAGCCCAGGCAGTATGAGGTCACTGACAGCTTGTTCGAAGGACTGATGAGCATGGAGAATGGCAGGAGATGATGCTACAGATAGGCAGGCATGATGTAGAAGGGCCTGTGTTCCAAGCCAAGGAGTGTGACCTTGATTCTGAAAGTGATGAGAAACAATCTCCTATTTGTTTTTGCTCCTTCTAAAACCCAAACTTTGCAAAGCAGTAGGAACAAATGTTCATTTTATCTCTATTTTGCAAAATCCTTTTATGTGCCATTCTAATCTAGTCCATGAAGAAGATATACTTGGGTCTGCTTTCATCCAATAGTCATGTAGTAAAGTGGAAAAAATACTGGTCTCTCTCCATGAATCTCCACCTTCCTGGCAGAAGAAAGCACAGGCTAGTAGAAAGAACAGCAGAATCAGAAAGACTTGAGTTAACTACTTTGTTCTGCCATTTACTAGTTGTGTGATTTGGTACATCATTTAATATCTTTGGGTCCATTTCCTCATCTGTAAAATGAGGTCAAAATTAAATGGAAAGAAGGCATATGAATATTTTAATGTTATAAATGCCTTTGTTAGCCATTCACAATGAAACCTAGCACTCCAAACTTGGCACAAAAAACATACAGCCTCAGGGAAAAAAACACAACTAGAAGAAGGGAATGAAAGCCTAAAAGGAAAAATATTGGAGGCTCTCTTTATCTATGACACGATGGTAACAGTGATTCCTCTCTCAAAGGGCTATTATGAAGATAAATGAGTTAATACATAGAAAGCACGCAGAATAGTCAGGCACATAGTTAAGTATCCAATAAAAGTTAGCTATTATTGTTATTAATATATTAAGACAAAAATGAGATACTCTTTAAGAACCTAAAAATAAGATAAATAGACCTGAATCAGAAGAAGGATGTAAAAAGTTCCCTTAAAGAGGGGGGCTGTTAGACCAGAGTAAGACTTTACTGAAGATGTTAATGTGTTTAAAGAGTGGGTCACTCAGGAAGGGAACTGTCAGTAATAGAAGCAAAGTGACCTACTAGTCATGGAGGAAGGCCTACCTGAACATAGTCCAGGAAGGAGACAGACCTGGCCCACATATTTTGAGTATTACTGTCCCACAGACATGGCCATCCCAATAATAGAGATGGAGACATGAGGTTCTTAGCTTGAGAGCATTAAGAATTCCAATTACACAACTACCTCCTCTTGTCCTGACTCCACGCTCATTCGGCACCTTCTGATTGCAACCTTCCAAAGCAGCTCATGCTAAGAAGAGCAAGAGTCAGTTATGCCCCACTATGAATTAAGAGGGGCACTGGAGTTTTACACATCACCTCTGTAAGCCTGGTTAACAGGAGTCCTCCCTGAGAAGTGGAAGCTCCCTCTGAATGCTGAGAAAAATCAACTTGCTAAATGCACCTGACCGAGGTAGATTCACCATGGTAATACCAGCTCATGAGTCATCTTGGCAGACAGTAAGCCTCTCCCAGGACAGCCCAACCTTGCCACTGGATCTCTCAAAGCATCAGTGGCCAGGGCCAAATAAAAATCAGTTAAACAAGAGTTGGCACCATGCCCTATGGTACCCCATGCTTACCCTCCATCAGTCTAGCCTGAGAGGCATTAACAAAACTGTACCTTCTTCTCTTTCTCTAAAATCATTTGATCTTTCTGATGCAGCATCTTCTTCAGAGTGGCCACTTCTTCCTTCAGTTGGGCAATGATGACAAAGTGGTCAGTGCCCGGTGAGTCCAGAGCCAGGTCTGGGGAAAAGCTGAGTAGAAACATGGAGGGGAAAAAAATCATAACTTGGAGGGATAAACCTTTTTCTACTTGAGGACACACCAGAGGCCACCTGACTACAAGCTCAAGGGTAAGAACAACTATTTGAATTCCCAGCAGTAAGCACAATGCTCCATACATGCCAGACTCAATAGCATTTGCTAAACTGCACAGGCAAGGTGATCATGAGATAACTATACCAACCAAACCACAACCCAGAGCATTTCTGCAGCATCTCCTCTCACATTCAAGATGAAAACAAATGCATTCCCCAAGAGTCAAGGACGTTTTGTTTCAGGTGTATTGAAGATTCCCAATTATTTATGGGTGGAACAGTCAATTTTTTGTGACTAACTCATTTCCCTAGAATCTGGATAAATTACCAATTGTTAGCTCACATATTTTTCTTTTAAAACTCCCCACAGAGCTCATCTTTTGGTTCTTTATTTTCTGCCCCAAAGCACCATGATGTGGTGCAGCTGCTAAGCAGCTGCTGCCTAGGGGCGCCTGGGTGGCTCAGCCGGTTTAAGCATCTGATGTTAGGCCGCTGCTCAGTGGGGAGTCTGCTTCTTCCTCTCCCTCTGTCCCTCCCCCCACTCATTCTCTCTCTCAAATAAATAAAAAAAATCTTAAAAAAAAGAAAGAAAGAAGCTGTTGCATTCCATCCCAGGAGCAGTCAGTCCCTTCTAAAAATTATAAAAAGATGAAATTTTCTTTTAAAGATTTTATTTATTTGAGAGAGAGAGTGCACACAAGCAGGGGGAGCGGCAGGCAGAGGGAAAAGCAGACTTCAAGCCCCACTGAGCAGGGAGCCCGACGTGGGGCTCAATCCTGGCACTCCGGGATCACGACCTGAGCCGAAGGCAGACGCTTAACTGACTGAGCCACCCAGGTGCCCCAAAAAGATGAAATTAATAGGAAGGAAGCCAACTTCCCCTACACTGCAACTGGCCTGTTGACCACCACTTCCAATAACAACAATTCAATGATATTTAGTTAGAAAAGACACAAAGAGGTGGCAAATTCCAGAGTCACACCACAACCTGGGTTTTCAACAGATTCTTCTCAATAACAGCACCTGAGCACTTCATTTTTTCAAAGTGCCAGGTGAACTCTGTCCTCTTAGCAGAGTCCTCTAACCAGGCCCAGCTCCCGGGAATCTGTAACCCTCTGAAATTGTATGTATAATTCAGTGTATACATACAATGGGTGGTTTCTAGGATGAGGATCCATAGCTTTCCCTGGTTGGTCAGAGATGTCTTACACCCAAAACAAGTTAAGGAATCATTGCCATGAGAGTCAAATCCTGCCCTTCTCTAGAGATTTCCCAAAGAAAGCTCTTACTCTTCCCAAGGCAACCTTTAAAGTAAAACACAAACCTGTTCTTCCTAAGCAGACACTGGAATATTGATTCCTAGCTCCCTACATCAATAGAGCAATGACTCTAGGTCCCCCTTGCTGTTGGTTCGTTCCTCCATCTTGAACTACATCTAATAACCAGCATTTCTCTACACAGGTAGAAACTCCAAAGAGCAAGTGGAATCACTGGACATCCTCAGAGTTACCAAGTCAAACATTCTATGGCTAGAAGACACAGTCCATTGATAAGAATATTCTCTCTTGGTCCACATGAAGCATGTCAGAAGAATGGACCCGTTGCTTTTATAACTGATGAATATGCAGAATTACTGGGTAACAAAAAAGTAAATGCCATATAATAAAACAAGGCACGCAGGAGAAAATACTGAAAGAACCCATCAAAGTCTCCACCAATTTCAACACCTGCCAAGGGACTGTCTTCCCTCAATCCAAGAGAATTTATTTAAGCCCGTAACTAGAATGACAAATGAAACAGAGTAATGGGCTAATATAAATCTTGTGGTCCCAAAAGCTCCTCATGTTCTTCTCTACCTGCTTCTTAAAAGAGGATTCTTCCCATACCAATACATTGTTAACAAAACCAGTTGTGTCTATCCTGTGTTAGGGCCTGACCTTTCTAACTCTCTAACTTCTGATTAATAAGAACTGCTGGAAATCAAATGAAAACAGACGGCTAGGTTAGGAAGGCAGAAAATTAGATCCAGCCTCTTTTCAAATATCTCCAATGATAGGGAACTCACTACTTCTCTAGGAAGCTTCTTGTCTTTTCTAAATCTTTTTTTTTTTTTAAGATTTTATTTATTTATTTGACAGAGAGAGAGAGACAGCAGAGAGGGAACACAAGCAGGGGGAGTGGGAGAGGAGAAGCAGGCTTCCCGCCAGGCAGGGAGCCCGATGCGGGGCTCGATTCCAGGACCCTGGGACCATGACCTGAGCCGAAGGCAGACGCTTAACAACTGAGCCACCCAGGTGCACCCTTTTTCTAAACCTTTTAATATAAGAGCAATCCTCCTCAGGGTAAGCCAAAACCTGCCTCCCTGTCATTCCTACCCTTTGGCCCTGGGTCTGTCCTCAAAGGCCACACAAAGTAAGTCTACTCTTTTTTTTTTTTTTTTAAAGATTTTATTTATTTATTTGAGAGAGAGAATGAGAGAGAGAGCACATGAGAGGGGGGAGGGTCAGAGGGAGAAGCAGGCTCCCCGCTGAGCAGGGAGCCCGATGCGGGACTCAATCCCGGGACTCCAGGATCATGACCTGAGCCGAAGGCAGTCGCTTAACCAACTGAGCCACCCAGGCGCCCCAGTAAGTCTACTCTTTCAGGCATATTTCAAATGGAGAATGAAATAAAACTATGAGGAGGGGCGCCTGGCTGGCTCAGTCAGTGGAGTGTGTGACTCTTGATCGCAGGGTTGTGAGTTCAAGCCCCATGCTGGGCGTAGAGACAACTTAAAAATAAAATCTTAAAAAAGGGGCGCCTGGGTGGCTCAGTCGTTAAGCGTCTGCCTTCAGCTCAGGTCATGATCCCAGGGTCCTGGGATCGAGCCCTGCATCAGGCTCCCTGCTCAGTGGGAAGCCTGCTTCTCCCTCTCCCACTCCCCCTGCTTGTGTTCCCTCTCTTGCGGGGTCTCTATCAAATAAATAAATAAAATCTTTCAAAAAAAAAAAAGTTAGACTTTAAAAAAAAAAATCTTAAAAAAAAAACCTACGAGGAAAGGAAAAGAATGTCCTTTAGAACAATAAACCACAAGGTGTGCCTGGGCATCACCCAATGTTGAGAGAGCTTTTTTATTACCAACAGAACAACAAACAAATATGATAAAAAAGTAGCTGCTACATTTTCTCTGGGAAGAAAAGCTAGACATGAACTCAGATTTTCCTTCAATTGAAAAGTTTTTGCTACAATTTCAAGAAACTAGAAAATATTAGAGGGAAGCTGTGAATTCTACAGGATACTAAAAAAAAAAACAAAGGCATTTTAGAAGTATAAAATTATCTGAGGGGGCACCTGGGTGGCACAGCTGGTTGAGCGTCTGACTCTTCATTTCAGCTCAGGTTGTGATCTCAGGGTCATGAGATCAAGCCCCGTGTCAGGCTCTGCACTCAGTGCAGAGTCTGCTTAAGACTCTCTCTCCCACTTCCTCTGCTCCTCCCCCCGCCAAATAAATAAATAAAAATCTATTTAAAAAATTAAAAATAAAATTATTTGAGAAAAGGTTTTATAAAAAACCTAGGGATGTCTGGGTGGCTCAGTTGGTTGAGCATCTGACTTTGGTTCAGGTCATGATCTCAGGGTCCTGGGATGGAGCCCCATGTCAGGCTCCATGCTCACTGGGGAGTCTACTTGGCTCTCTCCCTCTCCTTCTGCCCCTCTCCCTGCTCGTGCACACTCTCTTTCGCTTAAATAAAGAAATAAAATCTTAAAAACAAAAACAAACCAAAACCTAACGTGATGTGTTCTCTCTGTATGATACAGAAGGCTAATGGAGAAGGAAAAAAAGGAGAAAAAAAATCAAATATGCCTCAAAACTTAAAAACTAAGAGAGGAGAATGTGGTAGAACAGCAAGGTGAATGGAAAGTTGTTAGAGAGCAGCCTTCAGAAGACAAGAGGGGATAACAATGAAAGGACAAGAGCATATATGGATATTTTTAAAGTAGGGCCAGGAAAGTAGTCTGCGATCAACTGAAAATGGGGAGGCAGCTAAAATAGACAGCTCAGAAGCGAGACCATTAACATCTGGTATAGAACTGAATTCAAGATAGGTAATCAGTAAAAAAACTGGGGGTTTGCATGACATTACAAAAAGACATCAAAAAAAGGCTTGTCAGAATGTTTTCAAAGTGAGGGGTGACTGGGTGCCTCAGTCAGTTGGGCGTCTGACTCTTGGTTTCGGCTCAGGTCATGATCTCACGGGTTGTGGGATCGAGTCCTGTGTTGGGCTCTGCGCTCAGTGGGGAGTCTGCTTGGAGATTCTCTCCCTCTGCCCTTCCCCACCTCGCACTCTCTCTCTCTCAAATAAATCAATAAATCTTAAAAAAAAAAAGACACCCTGTAGAATCTGAAATCAAGTTAATAAAAAAGGTAACAGGAAAGAATACATTTCACAGATGCTTTGTGCTCCTTAATTGAAATTCAGCCCTCGTAAGCCTACATGCTAATCTACTCCCATATCCACCACTGGCTGGGAGGGAGAACCTATACTGGGCGTTTTCAGAATGGAAATGATTCCAAGGATTTTGGGGAAGAGTATGTCACTGTCTCACTTCAGGATGCCTCAGCCTGCAGAAACAGGAAAATGGGTGGCCCCAAGGCTTGGCTGGGAAGCAACACTGCACCAACACGAATGGGGCACTCTAGACATTAGGACAAAGCAGCCTGCAAGAGGAAGCAGCACTCAGGAGAAGGGAAAGCAAATAAAAATATGTATTTAGACAGGTTTAAAAAGTAGTAAAAATATTTAAATGCATCTCGTTCTCTGCTGATTGAGTATCTGCATTGGGCTTTCTGCATGCTAAGGAAGCATTGATTACCCCTCACAGACTGAGCAATACTGTCTTAACTCCAACTGGTCTCTGCTCCACTTCTCAAGACCAACTCCTGCCCTGCCTGGAGGAGGCCACAGGCACAGATCACAGTGAAAAGCATACAGCTCCTGACTTCTTAAAACTAGTGTGGAGGAGTTATTTGTGGACTACAGGATTTAGTTGCTATTAAATCCAGTTATATGTGCTTGTCTTTTACAGACAGGATTAGTTATAAACAAATATTGACACTGCTTATTCATAAGATATCAAGTGGTTAATGTAATGACCCTCAGAGACTCAATAACAACCCTAGACTAGGTCTAAGGCATACCCTGGAATGTATTCCTGTTTCAGGAACTGTATATGCAGTTTAAACTCAAACGGAAGCATGCACACACACCAACTGGCTTACCTGTCTCCATTGGTTGTGATTGACTCAAACTTGGATTTTTTCTTTGGGATTTCATTTTGAATTGAAGATGTAGAAAGTGTTTTCTGGCTTTTAATGCAAAAATAGAGAGACAGATATTAGAAATAAAAGATTCATAGAACATCACAATAAAAGTTTGTTAAATGGGACCAACATGGTATCACAGCTCTTCCATACAAGAGCTAATTATTCTTGATTTTTTTTTTTTTAAAGATTTTATTTATTTATTTGAGACAGAGAGAATGAGAGAGAGAGAGAGCACATGAGAGGGGGGAGGGTCAGAGGGAGAAGCAGGCTCCCCGCCGAGCAGGGAGCCCAATGCGGGACTTGATCCAGGGACTCCAGGATCATGACCCGAGCCGAAAGCAGTCGCTTAACCAACTGAGCCACCCAGGCGCCCTTGATTTTTTTTTTTAAAGATTTCACTTATTCACTTGACACAGAGAGAGAGAGAGCACAGCAGGGGGAGCGGCAGGCAGAGGGAGAGGGAGAAGCAGGCCTCCCGCTGGGCAAGGAGCCTGATGTGGGGCTTGATCCCAGGACTCTGGGATCAAGACCTGAGTTGAAAGCAGACACTCAACCAACTGAGCCACCCAGGCGCCCCTATTCTTGATTATTAAAATCCACCAAGGTGTTGATTTCATAGGTCCTGGATGCATGGGTAGCTCTCTTCCATAGGGCCCCAAAATTCTTAGTTTTAATTAAATATTACCTGCTTTATTAATAACTATGGGAACAAAGTCAATAAAATTTTAATAAGAAGTATAATCTATCTTATAGTTTAAAAAGTACTTTTCTAAAAATCTTTTTAATTTTTTTAATTTTAAGTAGGCTCCATCCCCAATGTGGGACTCAAACTCATGACCCTGAGATCAAGAGTTGCATGCTCCACCAACTCAGCCAGCCAGACACCCCCCTTTTTTTTTTTTAAGATTTTATTTATTTATTTGACAGAGAGAGACACAGCGAGAGAGGGAATACAAGCAGGGGGAGTGGGAGAGGGAGAAGCAGGCTCCCCGCGGAGCAGGGAGCCCGATGTGGGGCTTGATCCCAGGACCCTGGGATCATGACCTGAGCCAAAGGCAGACACTTAACGACTGAGCCACCCAGACGCCCCCAGCCAGACACCCCTTAAAAAGAACTTTTACATTTAATGTTTCATATGCATTTCCAACTCTGTGAGGTATATACAAGGTACTATTTCTTTTTTTTTTTTAAAGATTTTATTTATTTATTTGACAGAGAGATAGAAGAGCACAAGCAGAGGGAGTGGCAGAGGGAGAGGGAGAAGCAGGCTTCCCACTGAGCAGGGAGCCCGATGCGGGACTCGATCCCGGGACTCCGGGATCATGACCTGAGCCGAAGGCAGTCGCTTAACCAACTGAGCCACCCAGGCGCCCTACAAGGTACTATTTCTACTCTGCAGAAACTGAGGCTCATTGAGGTTAACTGACCTACCCAAAGATATATAGCTTGTCAATAGTGAAGCTGGGACTGGATACCAGGTTGAACTCTTTGTCCAGTTCTTCTTCAGTACAGTTCTGTGAATCTACTATCTGAGTCCCACACCACCACTAAAAATCAGTTTTAGCCCCAATGAGTTCACCCTCAAGAAAGACCCCTTCTTACTTGATCTCTTCAATATTTGATACCACTGACCATGCCATCCTTCCCCCCCCTTCCAACTTTATTGAGGAGTAACTGACAAACTGTATACATGTAAGGTATACAACGTGACAGTTTGATAAACACATATATCAAGGAATGATTACCAAGATTAAGATAATTAACACATCTATCATGTCACATAGTTAACTTTTTTTAATGGCAAGAATGCTTACAATCTACTTTCAGCAATTTTCAGGTATATAACACCATATTAAGAATAATCACTCTGCTGTACATTGGATCCTCGGAATTTTTTCTCCTTAGAACTGAAAGTTTATATACTCTTTGACCTAAATCTCCCCATTTCCCCCTTTCCCAGCCCCTGGCAACCATGATTCCAATCTCTGTTTCTATGAAATTGGCTTTTTATTTATTTATTTATTTTATTTATTTGACAGAGAGAAACACAGCGAGAGAGGGAACACAAGCAGCGGGAGTGGGAGAGGGAGAAGCAGGCTTCCCGCCGAGCAGACAGCCCGATGCGGGGCTCAATCCCAGGACCCCGGGATCATGACCTGAGCCAAAGGCAGACACTTAACGACTGAGCCATCCAGGCACCCCTGAAATTGGCTTTTTAAAAAGGTTCCACATAGAAGTGATACCATAGAGTATGCCTGTGTGTATGTATATATATCACATTTTCTTTATCCATTCATTCATTGCAAATCATTTACATTGTTTCCATCTCTTGGCTATTATGAATAAAGCTGCAATGCACATGGGAGTACAGATAATCTCTTCAAGATAACCGATTTCATTTTCTTTGGATATATACCCAGGAATGACCACTGGATCATATGGTAGTTCTGTTTTTATTTTTTGAGGAACCACCATACTGTTTTGCACAATGGCTATACCAATTTACATTCGCACTAACGGTGTATAGGGTTCCCTTTTCTCCATAACCTCACCAACATTTGTTATTTGTCTTTTCCTCTCTTTTTTTTTAAAGTAATCTCTACACCCAAAGTGGAGCTCGAACGCACAGCCCCGAGATCAAGAGTCACATGCTCCACCGACTGAGCCAGCCAGGTACCCCTCTTGTCTTTTTGATAATGGCCATCTAAAAGATGTGAGGTAATATCTCATTGTGGTTTTGATGTGCATTTCCCTGACAATTAGTGATGTTTAGCACCTTTGCATGTATCTACTGGCCATTTGTATGTCTTCTTTGGAAAAATGCCTATTCAGGTCCTTTGCCCACTTTTAAATTGGATTTTTTTTTTTTTTAGTATTGAATTGTATGAATTCTTCATATGTTTTTTTTATATTAACCCCTTATCAGATACATGGTTTACAAATACTCACTCTATCTTTCTTGAGTGCTTCTAGAGTTCTGTTCTCAGCCTCCAACTTGAATTATATCATCCAAGAGCATGGTTTTAACAACTACTTATTATATGGGTTGGAAATGGTATTCCCCAAATGCAGATTCACGGACTCTATCCTACAACCTATTGAATTAAAGTCTGGGGTGGAGCAGCAGGAATACACACTTGATAACAACTTCTATTCCCACCGACTCTTATGTGCTACCAATGGGCCACATCTGAACCTTTCTTGTGAGTTCTAGGCTAAGCTCCCAAAAAATAATTCTTCTTGATTCTCCAAACTCAACATTTTATTTTTTTTAATTTTTTAAAAAGATTTCATTTATTTATTAGAGAGAGAGACAGAGAGAGCACGAGCAGGGGGAGAAGCAGAGAGAAGGGGAGAAGCAGAGGGAGAGGGAGAAGCAGACACCCTGCTGAGCAGGGTGCCTGACGCGGGGCTCAATCCCAGGATCTGAGTCAGGACCTGAGCTGAAGGCTGATGCTTAACAGACTGAGCCACCCAGGCGCCCCACAAACTCAACTTTTAAAAACTGAACTTCTCTTCTTCCTATATTCTCTCTCAGTTAAGAATCTACCTATTCACCCAAGTAAGAAACCTGAGAATTATCCTCTACTCACCCAGCTCTTACCCTTCTACCTGTTCATCAATTATCTAAATTTCTCATAATTCTCCCTCTAAACTATCTTCCTGAATCTGCTTCTTTGATCTCTGGTGCCATGGCCTCAGTTGAGATTCTAATATTAACATCTCTTACCCTGGACTCATAAAAAAGCTTAACTAGCCCCCGAGTCTCTTTTTCTTCCAATGTATTCTCCACAGTAATCAGGGTTAATTTTTTTACAGACCCCAGGATTAGGTTCATGCTCCTTAACATGTCTGCAGAATCCCCTTTTCTCCCATTCCCTGGCTCTCAAACATAAGGTCCAGCAACATAGAAGAACTTGCAATTCCCCAGGATTTCATGTGGTCTCACGCCCTCCATGTCTCTATAAACGCTATTTCCTCAGCTTAGGATGCCTCTACCCATTCCCTCTGTGATGATTCCAACTCATCCTAAAAATCAGCTCCAACACCAGCTCTTCTCTGAGCCTCTCTTGCCTGACTTCCCAAGGCAGTTAATTACTACTGCCTCTCATGCCTGTATCTTGATGCTTCTCATGCTCATCGAATTATACTGCAATGATTTGATTACAGGTCTGTCTTCCCTACCAGACTACATACTCTTGGTGAGCAGCATGATTCTTTCATTCATCTCTGCCTTCCTAGCAGAGTCGTTGGTCCATGAGAGTACTTAATAATGTTCGCTAAATGAACAAACAAAATCATAATGGTAACAATAACAAACAGTAACTAAAATATATTGAATGCTTCCTATATGCCAGTTATAAAACTAATCACTATGCATGCACTATATAATTTATCTTCACAACAATTCCATGAGTTAATACTATTATTTCCCTATTTTAAAGGTGAAAAAAGCTTGCCCAAGATCCCACACAGAGAACCTGGCAGAGTTGGGATTCAATCCAGAGCCAGAACTCTTTTTCTTTTTTTTTTTTAAGATTTTATTTATTTATTTGACAGAGACACAGAGAGAGAGGGAACACAAGCAGGGGGAGTGGGAGAGGGAGAAGCAGGCTTCCTGCGGAGCAGGGAGCCTGATGCGGGGCTCAATCCCAGGACCCGGAATCATGACCTGAGCCGAAGGCAGACGCCTAACGACTGAGCCACCCAGGCGCCCCTGGAGCCAGAACTCTCAACAATACCTCAGATACTCTGAAAGGAAGCTAAGGCTACAATGAAAGGACATCTTTTTGACTAGATCCCACCAGGACAAACCTAGAACATCTATCAACCTCCTGTCCAAATATGCATTAAAAAAGCTGCATGCCTCAGAAAGTGAAATGTCCAAACTTTTAAGGAGATAACCCACTCCAAAGGTGAGAAGAACATTACAGGGAAAGTAGAACAAGTTCCACAAACTTTTCAGACACAATACAAACCAAGTCAGGAAATCCTGATACCTTATGGAAATCTCTCTGGCACTTGGAAGATACACGACCTGTAAAATATGGTAAAGGAGATTCCTCCTAAGCACAGTAACTAGAGAGAAAAGACTAGGAAACTGTAGACCAAATGGTATCCTCCATGGCTAATTGCGTATTTTACCTGACCAACCAATACTTCCAGTCCTATCTTACATGCATCTTGGGGTTACCTGTTATAATGGCTGCCACCACTCAGTCGACTATACTGTTCCTTCTCCTGGTGGCTGGCACGGGAAGAGATGCTCAGATGTTTCCTCTGCTCTTTGGTCTTTTGAAGGACCCGTTTGTACGAAAGTGTGCACAGCCAGCACAGCAATTTCCCATCTACCTGAAAGACAAGAAGACAAAGGTAAAGAAAAGAGAATGCAGCACATGGGTACTACAGAATATAGGTCCTGGGAGCTAGAACCTCTGGGTTAAGTCCCAATTCTGCCACTTACGAGGTGTGTGAACTTAGGCAAGTCTTCTACCTCAATTAAATCTCCCTATGTCCTGTGAAGCAGCTACTGTTATTTCCCACTGGAAAGATGATGAAACTGATGCATAATAAGATTAAGTAACTTGCCCAGGATCATTCAGCTAACCCAGGTCTACGGGACTGCAAAGCTTATACTCCAACTATTATTATATGCTACCTCCTGATTCCTAAGTCAGCTTCTCCAGTATCTTGATTCAGAGAAAATGTGCTCTGGTTGGCAAGCAGGAGTAATCTGGTCACTGGAGAGTTATATCCTCCCATTGTAAAGTAATGAATTTGGTTAGCAAGAGTCAGCTCTTGTAAGCCTAAGCATCTCCAAAAAGTAGCTCTGGACACTGAAAAAGTTTCTATACTGTATTCTTTCATTAAAAGAACATTTATTGAAGAGAACAAATTGATAGTTGCCAGAGGTGGGGAGTGGGGGGTAGGTGAAATGGGTGAAAGTAGTCAAAAAGTATAAACTTCTAGTTATAAAATAATTAAGTCATGGGGATATAATGTACAATATGATGACTATAGTTAATAATACTATATTGCATATTTGAAAATTGCTAAGAGAGTAGATCTTAAAAGTTCTCATCACAAGAAAAAGAATTCGGGGTGCCTGGGTGGCTCAGTTGTTGGGCGTCTGCCTTCGGCTCAGGTCATGATACCAGGGTCCTGGGATCGAGTCCCACATCGGGCTCCCTGCTCTGCGGGAAGCCTGCTTCTCCCTTTCCCACTCCCCCCTGCTGTGTTCCTGCTCTCACTATCTCTCTCTGTCAAATAAATAAATAAAATCTTAAAAAAAAAACAAAACAAGAAAAAGAATTCTGTAACTGTGTATAATGATGGATGTTAACTGGACTTATTGTGATCACTTTCCAATATACACAAATATCTATAATCATTATGTTGTACATATGAAATATAAGGTATGTTGATTATACCTCAATTTAAAAAGATATATAAAATAATCACTTTTTCAGTCACTTTTTAAAAAGTAGAAAATGAGAAGCACACTTTTTCTCAATAAATAACAGCAAGCTGGAGATATATTTCAGATTAATATTTTGGCCATTTCTGGTAAAACAATTGAAAGGGAGAGGAAACAGTTCTCAATAAACTATAACTTTTATCAATATAAGTGTATATATATATATATATAAATATATATGGGGGGGGCACTTAGTATGTGCCAAGCCACTGGAAATGTGGCAAAGAACAAGATGGACAGAGCTCATGTTCTAGTGGAGGTGGACAAACAAGCAAAAAAGCAAGATTAATTTCTCACAATGTTACATGCTATGAAAACAATAAAACAGGGTAATACAATAAGGGGTGAGTGAGTGAGTTAGTAAAGGGTCTCTGTGAAGAAGTGGCATCTGAGCATGAGGAACCAGTTAAGACGCTTTGGAGAAGGATGTATCAGGCAAAACGACAGCTAGCACAAAGGTGGGAATGACACGGGCATGTTTGAAGGGCTGAAAGGCAGCCAATGTGGCTGAAACAAGGAGAGGGGTGGGAGGTGTGAGGTCAGATGAGACTGAGAGGCAAGTATGGGCCATGCAGGCCAGGCAAGGGGTTTGGGTTTTATTCTAAGTGCAGCCAGAGGTCACTGAGTTTGTTTGGTTTTTTTTTAAAGATTTTATTTATTTGAGAGAGAGAGAATGAGAGAGAGCACATGAGAGTGGGGAGGGTCAGAGGGAGAAGCGGGACTCGATCCCGGGACTCCAGGATCATGACCTGAGCCGAAGGCAGTCGCTTAACCAACTGAGCCACCCAGGTGCCCCCAGAGGTCACTGAATTTTAAAAAGAACAAATCTAAACCACTTTTATTCTACCAATGCCCCATCGCTCCACACAGGGCTCTCCTCCATGTCATCTTGTGACTTTTAATTTCAACAGATAGAGATAATTAGAGTCAGATAGTGAAACTGGTCACGTATCTTGCTTAAGTTAAAATCTCTCCTTTACAGATTTCAATAGAATTTTGCCAATCATCACTTCACTTATATGGGATATTGATCACTGTAATTCGGATTCTCATGAAATACTAACTCAACAGATACTAGAATATAATGCTCCAGGGGTGCCTGGCTGGCTCAGTCAAAAGAACATGCAACTGTTGATCTCAGGGTCATGAGTTCGGGCCCCACCTTGGGTGTAGAGATTACATACATATATAACAAACTTAAAAATATATATATACTTTAAAAAAAAAGAATAAAATGGTCCACATTTAGTAAATGAAGAAAACAAAGTCTAAAAATCTTCAAGGTCAATAGCAACTAGAAAAGGAACTGAGAATTCCTTTCTGTCCTATGTGTTTTTTTTTTTTTTTTTTTTTAAGTAGGCTTTAGGGCACCTGGATGGCTCAGTTGTTAAGTGTCTGCCTTCAGCTCGGGTCATGACCCCAGGGTCCTGGGATCGAGCCCCACATCAGGCTCCCTGCTCTGTAGGAAGCCTGCTTCTCCCTCTCCCACTCCCCCTGCTTGTGTTCCCTCTCTCACTGTGTCTCTCTCTGTCAAATAAATAAATAAAATCTTAAAAAAAAAAAAGTAGGCTTTAAGTAGGCTCCATGCCCAGCACCAAGCCCAACTCAGGGCTTGAACTCACCACCCTGAGATCAAGATCTGAACTGAGATTAAGAGTCAGATGCTTAACTGACTGAGCCACCCAGGCGCCCCTCTTTTTTTTTTTTAAAGATTTTATTTTTAAGTAGTCTCTACACCCAACATGGGGCTCAAACCCACAACCCCAAGATCCAGAGTTGTATGCTCCCCCCACCAAGCCCAGCAGGCACCCCTTGTTTATGTCTTTTCGACACAAGTGACCCACCTTAATTTCTCTGAAAGAAAAAGAAAGTCAACAAGAACACCGAGATTTACCTTCTTTCTGTCATCTTTCCTGTCAAATGCACACTGCTGCTTACACTGCTCGCACGAATATGGCGGCCCGTACTTCTTCTCCGAGTTCGTGCAGCGCTGGCACTTGTTGCCGATAAATGCTGCAATTATGTTGCAGTACTGACAAGGTTTGGGCTTAAGGAGAGAAAAAGGGTCAACTGAGTATATTATGAAATACCAGTGCATTTTTTAAAGCAACCATTCCTATTACACAGTTCATTAGGCATTGTAAAAATGTATTCCTGACTTCACAAATTTCCTTCTACATCGATCAAATGAAGCCCAATTCCTAACACTACACATAAGGTGTTCTTCTGCACAGGACTACTGACTTTTAAACAAATAAATGAGCAAATAACAAAACCCCATTCGTGTATATACGCTGGGACTTCTGTGAGAAATTCAACAGAACCAGTTCTTTGGAGAAACCAGCAAGGGCTTCCAAATTTCTCAAAAGGCCTCTTTGCCATTATCACCATATCACAAGTTGGGAGATTCCCTGCAAGGACATAGTATCCAGAACCCTAACACTGAGAGACAAAAATTCATTCGTCAAAATGAACAGTCAACTGCTACCAAACAAAGAAGTCACATTGTAGGATCTATCTTTCCCGTCCTCTTTTCATACTGGTTACTGAAGGTCTCAAGGAAAATTATAATGACAATCCTGCCATCATGAACATAAACACAGACCTTCTCAATACTAAATATTAGCTAAGCTCGAAAGCTCAAACACTAGATAAACTTCACTGAGAAAGTATTTACACGTAACTAGTTCTAATAAAAATATGGTAATTACATCAAAAATCCACAGAATATAAGGTTCCAAGAGACCTGAGTACTCACTGTTAGGTACAGAGAAACCCTACTTACTGTTCCATATAACTGCACATTCTGAGCACATTTCTTGCATATTGTATTGGTTTTACTGTTAAGGAAAAAAGAGACACAAGGTTTTTAAAAGAAAAAACCTGTCTTACTTACAACATCTGAAAACTGACTCCTTCTTAAGCCCACAGAATTTGCTCATTGCTAAGTGCCAAGGTGATATGTGGTCTGGATACTTGGTTAACTGAAGGTTGAGTATCTGGCCAATAACTCTTCTATTAATTCTTTTGTGGTTACTAATTTTATTAGCTCAGATAAAACGAGACTTTAGTTAAAATGGAGAGATTATCACATCTCCAAGTATCACTAAACAAAATTATCAAATATGGACAGAACCCTCAAAAGAATATTATGTTAGACTGAAATGGACTAGAAGTAATTCTCCTCAATTTGGATAAACAGCTGAGAAACCTGAGGTGAGAAATAAAGTATATGTGTTTCGAATACAAACTTAAGATATTCTATCCACGTTGACTTTACTCTGTCTACACTCTCCTCTGTAAGTAAAAGCATATGAAAATCCCAGATGTGAGGAAATAGATGCTATGACCAACTATTTTATCAATACTTCAAATTTCTCTAACAAGTACTGATAAAAATAAAAACATCTTTTTTGTTGTTTTTTTAAAGATTTTATTTATTTGACAGAGAGAGACACAGAGAGAGAGGGAACACAAGCAGGGGGAGTGGGAGAGGGAGAAGCAGGCTTCCCGCAGAGCAGGGAGCCCGATGTGGGGCTCGATCCCAGGACCCTGATATTATGACCCGAGCCGAAGGCAGACGCTTAATGACTGAGCCACCCAGGTGCCCCTAAAGGAAACTCTTTTAGAAAGAGGATTCACATCAGCAATTCTGTGATGTTGAACATTTGAGTTTATGCTTAGATTTATTACTGAAGAAGTGGGACATATATATATATATACAAATGCTCCTGACATCTCAGAAAACATACAAAGAAAAACTATTTCTATGATCCATCTTGAATTAATTCTTTTTAAGATTTTATTTATTTATTTGTGAGAGAGAAAGCACGAAGGGGGTGAGAGGCAGAGGGAGAAGCAGACTCCCCGCTAAGCTGGGAGTCCAATGCGGATCTCGATCCCTGGACTCGGGGATCATGACCAAAGCCAAAGGCAGACACTACACCAACTAAGCCACCCAGGTGCCCTTGAATCAATTTTTTTTTTAAGATTTAATTTTTTTTAAGTAAATTCTACACCCAACATGGGACTCGAATCTACAACCCCGAGATCAAAAGTCACATGCTCCACCAACTAAGTCAGCCAGGCACCCCCATCTTCAATAAATTTTTATGTATGGTGCAAATTCAGGGTCAAACTTCATATCTCCCCCACACCCAAAAATTAATTCAAGATGGATCACAGACCCAAATGTAAAAGCTAAAACCTAATGCTTCTAGAGGATATTTTATATGTTTCCATTTCTATGAAATGGTAAAACTGATCCATGGTGGAAAGGAAAATCAGAACAGTAGTTGTGTGAGGGAGGCAAGAAGGGTAGGGATTGAGTGGGATGAGGCATGAGAGGACTCTCTAGGGTGATGATAATGTTCTATTATTTTGAAAGGGTTTGGGGTTACACAGATGTACACGGTTTGCAAAACTCATCGAATGATGTACTTAAGATTTGAGCATTTCACTGTGCACAAATTTTATCTCTAAAAAAATAAAGGACCGTAAATAAATGTTGAATTTTGTTAATGATATGCATCCTTAACTGTTTTGCATCAAGTATACTGATGTCCACAACTTTAAAATGCATTACAAATAAGATGGATTAATACACTAATGGATAAATGCAAATGCAGTAAACATAAATCGTAGAATCTAAGTGGTGGGTATATGAGTGTTTATTGTCTAATTCTTTCAACCACTTCTGGTTTGAAAATATCCATAATTAAATGTTTGGGAAAATGTTCCTAGAACTGAAATAAGGCTGATTAAAATTAGGTTTCTAGGTCTATGTGTGAGCTAGCAAATAGACCCCACCCTGCTTTAAGGATCTATTATAGTTGCAGTCCCACAGAACTAACTACACCAATAAACTACTTTGCTGCTATTGAAAGTCTCCCAAAAATGTGTGTTTACTCACACCTAAATGTTTTTCACATTTTTAAAAATGAGGTTTTAAAAAAAAAAATAACAAATCCTTATCAGAATGGTCACATTTCTAAAAGTATCTTCCTTTCGATTATAAATTCTTGAAGCTCTGAATATAAACATACTGAAACATGAGGCTCATTGTTTTACTGTTGTGGTTTCTTCGTGTCATAAAGATTATAAACACAATATAAAACGATCAAGGATCTTAAAAAAAAGTAACTTTAAAAAAGCAATCAATGGGTAACTAGGGAACGAGAAGTGTGTTTTGTATTCGTCAATGTGTTATAATAAAACTGCAGAATTTGTGTATAATGCACTCAATTACAGATCTGTACCGTGAAAAGCAACTAATTGTCGATTTTAAGAGGAAAAAGCCTATTAACATCTTCCATGGTCAACAAAAACTGTACCTCTCCTGCTGGTACTCCGTTCTACAGTAGGTGCACTTCACAACAGGGTGTGCAATCCGACATTCCTGAAATGAAATGAGGATATAATTTTAAAAGGCAGTCAGAAATGGAAACAGCCTTCAGTAGGAGGCAGAAGACCTGGGTACTATTCCCAGCGTAGCCACTGCGCTTGAGTGAGTCACTTGAACTTTCTGGGCCTTATTTTTCTCTTCTGTAATATTGGCATCACTGGCCTGCATTGATGTGGGAATTAAGAAAGAATTTATATGGAACTAGTCATAAATTGTAAAACAAAAATATGTATGAATAAGCCTCAGACTGGAAATCAGAAGCCCTGGACTCTAGTTTCAGTTGTGCCGCTTCCAATTGTCTGATTTTTGAGCAGGTTCACTTGTGAAATGAAAATGCTAAATTAAAATCATTATTGCTTACCTATATGAAACTTCCTTAAAAGCAATATATATATTTCAAATATACATATGTATTTATACAAAGTCTAAAAAAAGCACTCAAACATCTGAGCTCTCTCCTACAGGGTAAACAGAGAGTGACAAAGTCATGGCCATTTGAGGCAACGATGACATACAGTTATTGAAAGTCTCCCATATCAGAGGCACAAACTCTGGATTATCTGGGAATATCTCAAAATCCATCTCAGGACGCCTTGGTGACTTTTAACTGTCACCTCACAGCACTTCTATTAACTTAAATAGGCAAAGCAAGATGAAGCACCTCAAACGAAAAAAAGAACTTGGATCTTCAGGAGTAAAAACAGTAGCTGGTTAGGGCCAGGACCGAAGGTCACCAACTGGATGCTGAAAAATCCTTTTGCTTCGTGCGCTTAATTGTGGGGCTTTTCTATAAAGCCGCGCCACATCCGACTCTGAGACTGGCTGGAAAGTGCCCGTGAGGCGCCCGAGTTGGGAGACTCTCCTCCCAGGCAGCACCCAACTCTGGAGTTCAGTACCAGGCGGGGTAGGGGGTCCCTCAGTCTGCAACCAACGGCGGGGAAGCCAGCCCAGGAGGGATCTCGGTGCGTCTGGTCGGGGGCAAGCAGGGGACCCACTGTCCCCTCCCCTGACCTCAAGGGGTCCGAGAACAATCCCTCGCGGTTGCTAAGCACCGGGACACGCCGGCCGCGGGGCCCTGGACGGAGCCCGGGACTCCCCCACGTGCCCCGCCGGCCCTCAGCGGAGCGGGTGAGGCACCTCAGCTAGGCGGGCCTGCCACGCCCTGCCCGGGGGACCCCGCCGAGCGGCCTCGCAGAACAGGGGGCTCCGGGCCGCACCTCTAGCGTCCCAGTTCCCGGCCGCCGCCCCAGCCCGCGCACCTTGCACAGCTGCTGCCCCTGAGACAGCGCCTCGAAGGGGAAGCGCTGGTGGCACTTGGTGCAGGCGTAGAGCGCCGCCATGTCCGGCCGGGGCCGTGCTCACCGCCCAGCCGGCCCGGCCCGCCGCTTTATCTGACAGTCTGAGAGACAAGCAGGCGGTGGCGGCGGCGGCGGCGGCGGTGGCTGCGGCGGCGGCGGCGGCAGCAGGCTGCGGGCTGCGGCAGGCGGGCGGGCCGGCGAGTGCGGGCGGATCGGGGCGGGCGCGGCGGCGCTCGTTGCCCGTTCACTGGTTCATCTCGACGTCCATCAAGTACGAAGGGACGGAACACAGGGCTTATGACAACTCTGATTCGGTCTGGGCTGGAATACGCCACTTATGACGCGCGCGGCCTCGATTATGTAAAGCGCAGTCACGCGGGGGCGCCACTAGGAGGTACCTTCTCCCGCCCGGGACCTCGGAAGCGCCCAGACCCCTCCCACTTCGCTCTTTGTTCCCGCCCTCGCTCCTCCTCTCCTCGGCCGCGGGCGCAACCGCACCTCTCGCGATACCTCCGCGGAGTTGTGATGTTTTGGTTTCCACGGAGCTGCCCTCTGGGAGGCGGAGGGGCGCGGTTGGGCAGAGAGCTGCGCGTTGTTACACTACAGCTCGGGCAAGATCCCGAACCTGAAAAAGGTGGGGGGCTTGTGAGAGAACACCACCATCACAGGGAGGGAGAAGAGGAAATCATGAGAGACAACCTAGGAGGGGTGCCCTCTGTCAGAGATCCCTACAAAGGGGGGAAACTCGAGGATTGTTGACCTCCAGAGAGAAAGGGGGAAGCCCCAGAGAGGGACCCCTATGTTGAGGAAGCGGGCTTAGAGTGATGACAGCCCCTCCAGGAGGATGTAGAACAATACTAAGGCGAGGCCCTCCACCCCTCAGTGTCCTCCTGGTCTGATGGCCTCCCTCAGGGTGGGATACATTTGGCCTGAGGCCTGTTTCCTACTTTGTGTTCCCCAGTTGCACCCCCAGCTTTTCTTGCAAACAGCCACCTGAGGTTTCCTGGCTGATCCTGCCCCCACCCCCACCCCAAGGCAAGCCGCATCCTCCTGGATACTCTGCCTCTCTTCAGCTCTCAACTTTTCACATATAGCCGCCGCCCAAGGAATTGTGAACTTCTTGTTCTTGAGACTTTGGCAAAGTTTCCTGCAGTGCTGACCTTTCCAAGTCCCTGCCCTATAGCTGCTCTTGGCCTTAGATTATTTTTGGTTCTGCCAACCATCTATACAATACTAATTGCTGCAATGTGCATGTTTTACAATTGAGGATGCACTTATGGTTTCTACATCCCTGACCCAAGAAAATTTATCTCTGAAACCCAAATCCAGCCCCCTTCTTGGGGATTTGCCCAAAGGTGTGTGTTAATCAAAGGTTTAGGCTCTGGGGTCAGAAAACTAAGATTCAAAATTACTGTTCCATATTTACTAGCTGTGTGACCTTGGATTTATCACTGAACTCAGAGCCTCACTTTCCTCAATTGTACAACTGGATCATTATGAGGATCAAAAACAGTACATGGAGGGTAATGGGGGGAAACTACTTAATAAGTAAGGGGTTTTACTTTGGAATGATGGAAATATTTTGGTACTAGACAGAGGTAGTGGTTCCATAACATTGTGAATGTACTAACTGCCACTGAATTGTTCACTTTAAAATGGTAGATTTTACATTATGTGATTTTCACCTCAAATCATTAAAAAAAAAGGATTTAGATTTGGGAGCTAGACTGTGTGGCTTTGAATCCCAGCTCAATCACTTAGAAGCTGTATTACTTTGGGCATATTAAACACAAACAAACAAACAAGAAACAGTAAAAACAGTACATGGAACTTGGTACGCTAGGTAAATGTTCATTATTAGAAGAAAAAAAACTGTGTTTCTTTTTTTTTTAAGATTTTATTTATTTATTTGAGAGAGAGTAGAGCAAGTGAGCGAGAGAGGGAGCACGAGTGGGGGTGGGGGCAGAGGGAGAGGGAGAAGCAGGCTCTCTGCTGAGCAGGGAGCCTGATGTGAGGCTTCATCCCAGGACCCTGAGATCATGCCCTGAGCTGAAGGCAGACGCTTAACCGACTGAGTCACCCAGGTGCCCCAACTGTGTTTCTTATCAGGGAGATGCTGCTGCCTTGGATGTAAATACAGCATCCCTTCTACTCACATCCATAACCCCAAACTGGGGTATGAGTCTCTCTGTGTTCCAGTTCTGATCTCCAATGTATTACTTACCAGCTTTCTAATTGCCTATTTACACATCTTTCATCCATCAGACTATGGCATTACGGAATATAAGGACCATATCTAAGTCATTTCTGTATCCTCTTTACCCAGTGCAGGGTGAATTAATCCATTCTTTCAACAGATCTTTATTCAGTATTCAGTCGAACAGCAAGGACTATGCACGATGAGACGTACCGCAAGGATAGAGAACAATGTTAGGATAGGGGAGAGAAGAAAAGGGGAGTCACCTGGGTAGAGAAGATCAGGGAATAATTTTCTGAGGAGGTGCCAAGACGTGAAGGTCAAGAAGAACTTAGCCATACGACTTAGCCAAGAAAGTTCTGGGCAGAGGGAAAGGTGAAGATCTTGAGGCAGAATACAGCTAGGCATGTACAAGAATGAAGAAGCCGCTATAGCTGAAGCTTAGCGGGACAGAGACGAGGAGAGAGGTCGGCAGGGATTGGCTGGGTCCAGATGACCCTGATACGGACATGGATTTTTTTTCAAAGTACAATGTATGTAGTATAATGGGGAAGAATCCATTGGTAGTTTTTGTTGTTGTTGTTGTTGTTTTAAGATTTTATTTATTTATTTGAGAGAGAGAATGAGAGCGAGAGAGAGAGCACATGAGAGGGGGGAGGGTCAGAGGGAGAAGCAGACTCCCTGCTGAGCAGGGAGCCCGATGTGGGACCCTATCCCGGGACTCCAGGATCATGACCTGAGCCGAAGGCAGTCGCTCAACCAACTGAGCCACCCAGGTGCCCCCATTGGTAGTTTTTAAGCAGACAAGTGACAGCAGACATTTGTATTTTTAAGATTTGTCTGGCTGCTACGAGGAAAATAGACTGGAGGCGGCCAGCATAAAGGCACAGCGACTGGGGAGGAAGCTATCGCACTCATCCAGGTGAGAGATGATGATTAAAATGTTGCAGTGAAAGAAGTGGACAGATTCAAGATATCTTTTGGAGAGAGAGTCAACAGGATTTAGGGATGGATTGGATTTAGGTGGTGGTAAGGGAAAGGGAGAAATTATGATCAATGTACCCAGTTATGTGGATGGTGGTGTCATTTCCAGCAAAAGGGAAGATAAGAAAGAAAGGTTTCAGAGACAAAACCAAGCGTTTTATTTTTGACATACAGGAATGCATCATTTTATTGAGCTTGGCTTTATTGTACTTTGCAGATATTGCATTTTTACAAATTGAAAGTTTATGGCAACACTGTATCAAGCAAGTCTGTATGCACCGTTTTTCCAACGACATTTGTTTACTTCTTGTCTCTGTGTCACATTTTGGTAATTCTCACAATATTTCAAATCTTTTCATTATTGTATTTGTTACAGTGGTCTGTGATCAGTGATCTTTGATGTTATTATTGTAATTGTTTTGGGCAACACAAACTGCCCTTATATAAGAGAGTGAAATTGATTTATAAATGCGTGTGTGTGTGTGTGTGTGTGTGTTTTAAGATTTTTATTTATTTATTTGTCAGAGAGAGAGAGCACAAGGGGGAGCGGCAGGCAGAGGGAGAAGCAGGCTCCCCGCTGAGCAGGGATTCCGCTGTGGGACTCGATCCCAGGACCCTGGGATCGTGACCTGAGCTGAAGGCAGATGCTTAACTGACTGAGCCACCCAGGTGTCCCATGTGTTGTTTTTTTTAAGTAGGCTCCACACCCAGTGTGGAGCCCAATTCAGGGCTTCAACTTGTGACCCTGAGATCAAGACTTGAGCTAAGATCAAGAGTCAGACAATTGACCGACTGAGCCACTGAGGGACCCCAATAAATGTGTGTGTCCTGACTGCTCTATAAACTGGCTGTTCCCTGAGACACAGGGAACAATATTGGAATTAGTCCAGTTACTAACCCTACAATGGCCTCTAAGTGTTCAAGTGAAAGGAAGAGCCAAATGTCTCTCACTTTAAATCAAAAGCTAGAAATGATTGAACTTAGTGAGGAAGGCATGTCAAAAGCTGAAATAGACTGAAAGTTAGGCCTCTTGCGCCAGATAGTCAATTTGTAAATGTAAAGGAAAGGTTCAGTTCTTGAAGGAAACTAATAGTGCTACTCCAGTGAACACATGAATAATAAGAAAGCAAAACAGTCTATTGCTGATACAAAGTTCAAGTGGTCTGGATAAAAGATCAAACCCACCACAACATTCCTTTAAGCCAAAGCCTAATCCAGAGCAAGGCGGGGGGAAGCTGCAGAAGTCTGAAGCTAGCAGATGTTGGTCCGTGAGGTTTAAGGAAAGAAGCCATCTCCATAAAATACAAGTGCAAGGTGAAGCTGAAGCAACAAGTGCTGATGTAGAAGCTGCAGCAAGTTCTCTGGAAGATCTGGCTCAGATCAGTGATGAAGGTGGCTACACTAAGCAACAAATTTTCAATGTAGATGAAGCAGCTTCCTACTGGAAGAAGATGCCATCCAGGACTTTCATAGCTGAAGAGGAGAAGTCAATGCCTGGCTTCAAAGCTTCAAAGGACAGACTGACTCTCTTGTTAGGGGCAGTGCAGCTGGTGATTTTAAGTTGAAGCCAATGCTCATTTCCATTCCAAAAATCCTTAAAAACAATGCCAGATCTACTCTGCCTATGCTCTATTAATGGAAAAACAAAGCCTGGATGAAAGCGTGCCAGTTTATAATGTGGTTTACTGAATATTTTAAGCACACTGTTGAGACCTACTGCTCAGAAAAAAAGATTCCTTTCAAAATATTACTGCTCGTTAACAATGCACCTGGTCACCCACGAGCTCTGATGGAGATGTACATCAAGATTAATTGTTGTTTTCATGCCTGCTAACATATCATCCGTATGCTGCAGCTCGTAGATCAAGGAGTAATTTCAACTTCCAGGTGTTATTTTTTAAGAAATACATTTCCGAAGGGTATAACCACCATAGAGAGTGATTCCTCTGGTGGATCTGGGAAAAGTAAATTGAAAACCTTCAGGAAAGGATTCACCTCTCTCCATGCCATTAAGAACATTCATGATTC